GACATAATTGCTGAGTCAATGTCTGTGACTGTTGAAAAACTGCAGAGAAGGCTACAGGACTGAAAAGGGCTAATGTCCTAATTTTTCTTTTCTTTTTAGGCAATTGGGGTTAAGTGACTTGCCCAGGGTCACACTGCTAGTGTCAAGTGTTTGGTCTGAGGCCGAATTTGAACTCAGGTCCTCCTGACTTCAGGGCCTGTGCTCTATCCACTGTGCCACCTAGCTGCCCCTTAATGTTCTAATTTTCAAAAAGCAGAAGGTGAATTATTCAAATTACAGTCTGCCAATTTTGATGCTCCAGCCTACAAAATTTTTAGAATGAATTATTGAAGGTCTGTAAGAACTTGAAAAGAGAGCTGGTGATTATTTTAAACTTATATATGTTCATCAAGAATAAGTCATTACAGACTAAACTCATCTTTTTTTTTTTTTTACTAGATTATCACATCCTTAGATGAGTAAAATGCTATGATAAAGTATACCTAATTTGAGGCAGCAACTTGTCAGTCTGTCATTAAAAGTATCTTATGTACAAGATGAAGAGGGATGGATTATAAATGTTAGATTACAGTTAGATTCAGAACTAATTCTGTCACCAGATCACCAGTAATTAAAAATAGATCAATGTCAAACTGGAGTTAGGTTTCTAGTGGGGTGCAAAAGGGCTCTTTTTGCCCAACATTTCCTTCAAGGACTTGAAATGAAGGTACATAGGGAATATTTATCAAATATACAGATGACATAAAACTATGTTACACTTAATTTACTTGCAACTGAGTTTGCAATCCATTCAAACCCTCAATTTCTTCATACAGGGACTATAGTCTTAAAAGTTTTGAGTACTTTGTTAAGTATGTTTCAGAAAGGAATCCTGCTTCTGGTATAGATTGAACTAGATGATGTCTGAGGTCCCTTTCAACTGTAAAATGTTATGATTTCATGTTTCTGTAGTTAAGATGTAATGAGGGAAAATAAGTCCTGATGGGGTGAGGTGGTACGGTAAGTCAAAATGGAATCAAGGGGTTCATGAAGCATTGGTGGCAGATGGAGAAGGAAGAATGAGAGTAGCCTGAGTGAAGTGGGGAGAAGGGGCATTCAGAGGGCAGTTAACCCTGAGCTCCTGAGGGAAGGGAAAGAGGGTCCCTGAGAGGAAAGTGAGGTAAGAAGGGAGGGATACTAGAGATAACCATCATCTACTTCAAAATTTTGCTTTAGGACATGCCTGGTTTCTTTTATCATTCCCTTCCCACTTTTTCTCCCCTCTCTTACAACACCCCTCCCCTCTCCATTCCAAACATAGCTTGTCAGGTCCCCAGTGGGCCTAGCCTAATTCTATCTCAAGTGTCAAGGAAAAAGGTGGAGGAAGAGAGCCAGCCAAAGTGAAGTGACTAAGGTGAAATTAGCCTGAGGGAAATTTCACAAGGACAGACAAAAATAAGTCTTGCATATTAAACTGAAGATTTGGACAAGGGCAACTCTGTGTGCAGCTTGATGGAAATTATGCACCTGCCACCACCACCAAAATTTTCCCCTGCTTCATCCAGGGGCTTCTCCCATGCCAACCAAGCTCCCTAAGGAAACATGGAAATAAACAGGGAAAAGGCTTATTTCATCAATGATGTACAAGAAAAATTGCTAAGACATAGTAACAAATCAATCAACAAACACTTAAGTGCCTACTATGGGCCAGGCACAGTGCTGGGTGCTGTGGGTACACATAGAAAAATGAAACCCTTTCTATCTTCAAGGAGGTTATGTTCTACTGGAGAGGTACATGTTAAAAGAAAAAGTCAAGAAGCATTTATTAAGTGCCTACTATGTACCAAGTACCGTGTTAAGCTCTGGAGATACATACACACAAAGACAAAAGCAAAAACAGTTTCTGCTCTCAAGAAGCTCACAAGAGCAATGGAGGAGATAATATGCAAACTGCTATGTAGAACAGGACAAATATGAGATAAAGAGGATCAGAAAGGCTTTTTGTACAAGATGGGAATTTAGCTGGGACTTGAAGGAAGCCAGAGAAGCCAGGAGACTGATGAAGAGAGAATTCCAGGCGAGGGAAACAGTCAGGGAAAATGTAACAAGTTGGGAGATGGATTGTCCTGTTCGAGTAACAGCAGGGAGGTCAGTGCTACTGGGTCACTGAAAATGTGAAAAGAAAGATGATAAAGACCGAGAACTCGTCTCTCTTAGTTCAAGCTCTCATTAACTCTTGACTTGACTATTACCTTGCCTCCTAATTGGTCTCCCTGACTCAAATCTTTCCCAACTCCAATCTATCCTCTATGCAACCAGCAAAGTGAATTTTTAAAGTACCATGTCCCCCCCTCCATATTAAACTCCAGCGGCCCCCTATTACCTTTAGAAACAAATATAAAATTCCTGTGTTTGCCATTCAAAGCTCTTCACAACCTGGCCTTTCCCAAGTTTTCACATACATTAATACCTTCCATAGATTCTTTGGTTCAACATAGCGATCTATTTATTGTTCCTCAAATTGGACACTCCACCTCTGTACCTTTGCATTGGCTGTCCCCCATGCCTTCTTTCTCACTTCTACCTCATAGAACCTCTGGTTTCTTTGAAGATTAAGCTCAAGCAATTCTGCAAGAGAATTTTCCTGATCATCCCGGCTGCTAGTGCCCCTCGTCTATCTCATATATACTTTGTACTGCATAGCTAACTAGATATAAGTGTTTTCTTCCCCATTAAAATACAAGCTCTTTGAGAATGAGGACTATTTAATTTTAGTCTTTGTAGAATAACAACAACAACAATAATAATAGCAAGCATTTATATAGAGTGTGAAGGTTTACAAAATACTTTATATATGTTATCTTGTTTTACCCTCACAACGGCCCTAACAATTAGATGCTATTACTGTCCCCATTTATAGTCGGGCAACTGAGGCAGGTAAAGGCTAAGTGAATTGTCCAGGGTCACACAGTTAGTGAATGTCAGAGGCTGGATTTGAACTTAGGTCTTCCCGCCTCCAGGTACACCATTCTGGACTCTGAGCCACCAGCTACCTCAAAGCTAAGGCCACATCCAAGTTACAGCTTTGCTATAAGTATGATCTCCACGGCCTTGATAAGTCATTTCATCCCCCTGGATTTCAATTTCCTCATCTGTTAAATAGAGATAACTTTTGTGTTACCTCTCTCACAGGGTTGTCATGAGGATCAAATGAAGGAATAGTTTAAAGTGTTATATTATCATCAGCAGGAGCCTTTTCTTGTAACAAAAAGGTCACTGAGCTTGAAGTCAGACGGCCTGGGTTAAATCCTGACTGTGGGACCAGGATTAACTATGATGTGTGGCAACCATGGCCAATCCCTTCCAACTGACTGGAAGTACATGTAGCCTGATTTAGGTTAAACAGAAGAATGTACATTCTAATAATCACAGCTGTTTCAAGATGGAAAGGATTTCCTTTGTCAAGTAAAGAGCACTTCTCACTGTTTGGTTTTAAAGCAGAGACTGTCAGGGATGATCCCTAATTAGGAGGGAGTTCATGAGATCATAAATACAGAGCTGGAAGACACCTTACAGGCTATCCTGTTGAAGCTCCTCATTTTGAGGAAGTGGAAACCAAGACCCAGATAAGTAAAGTGATTTGTTCAGAGTCAATAAATAACAAAATTGAAATTAAACCCGAGTTCACTGATTCCAGATCCTGAGCTCTTTCTACTTTACTTCCATGGCTTGGTTTCTCTGGCTTCCTTCAAGATTCAGATCAATCCCACCTTATGCAAGAGGTCTTCTCCTCTTAGACTGCCTTCCATCTATTCTGCAAATACCTTGTATGTGCCTAGTTATTTACATATTGTCTCCTCCAGAAGAATATACACTCCGTGAGGGCACGGGCTTTCTTTCTTTGAATTCACAGGGTAAGGCACATAATAAGCACTTAATAAACGCTTCCTGACAAAGATCTAAGAGAATTCATGATGGAAAATGCTATCCACATCCAGAGAAATAACCATGGGTTATGAATGCAGATCAAAGCATACTAGTTTATCTTTCGTTGTTGTTTGCTTGTTTGTTTTTTGGCAATTGGGATTAAGTGACTTGCCCAGGGTCTACAAAGCTAGTGTCTGAGGCCAAATTTGAACTCAGGTCTTCCTGACTCCCAGGCTAGTGCTCTATCCACTGGGCCATCTAGCGCCCCTGTTGTTTTTTCTTTCTCGTGGTTTTTTCCCTTTGGTTCTGATTCTTCTTTCATATGACTAACGTGGAAATAAAAATAAATAAATGCATGTTGACGGAACCACACTGCTTCAAAAAGGACCAGGTAGACGACCTCTAAGACCTCTCCCAAATTTCAGAATCGAACAATAATAGCTAGCATTGTAATGTGCTTCAAGATTTGAAAAGCTCCTACGTTAACCCATTAGATTTTACTCCTGGAAGCTAGAGAAGGAGTCAGCTCAAGAGAAAGAAGAACCTGTTAACAATAAAAGAGGTCCAACATTGGAATAGTCTGCCTTTACAGGTAGTGAGTTCCACATCATCGGGAGTCTTCAAGGAGGCTGTATGACCACTTGCTGGATATCGCCTATGGGAGCCGGCTGGACTGGGTGGCCTCTGAGGCCGCTTCCATCTCTGACATCCTAAGATTCTCTCCTAAGCCGGGGCAGGTATTTGATCTTTCTCGGGGGCTGGCTGTATTTGAGGGGCTGGCCAGCTTGGGGCAGAAGAGCGCTGGCTCTAGAGTCAACGGACTCTGACACCTGTGTGACCTTGGACAAGTCGTCTCCCCGCTCCGGGATTCAGTTTCCCTTCTATATAAAACGAGAGAGGTAGAATTCGAAGGTCTATTACTAAAGCGCCCAGAAATGCTTCTCTTCCGCCTTCCCCAGCTTGCCCGAGGCGGGGCAAAAGGGTGGATAGGCTCGAAGCCGTTGAGTGGCCGCCGTGGCAGCCAATGGGCGCCGGTTCTGCCGCCCGGTCCCGCCCTTCGCAGTGCCCCTCCCCTCCTGGCGCGCGGTACTCACTTTCCCCACTTCTGCGTTGCCCATGGAGATGACTTTGATGCGCAGGGACTTGCCCGGCTCCTTCCGCTTTGGCATACCGGCCTCCATTGCCCTCCCGGCCGCGGGGCCAACGAACGGGACGTAGTCGTTTCTCTTTCGCTAAGCTCACCCGTCTCTCGGGCCTCCGCCGCCAAATCGGGGAGCTGCCGCAGATGCCGTCGCCGTCACTGTCGTCGCCTCAGTGACACGACCCGCCATAGCGGGCCAGGCTGCCAAGCAGCAGGCGCGCCGGGAGCCTTGGGCTCGCGACGAGTCTCGCGAGGAGAAAAGGGAGGGCGTGACGTCACTTCCCCTCCCCCCCCACGGGCCGTCGCCCTGAATCCTTCTGGGCTGCGTGTCGGTCCTTTCGTGGTCCTGTACGGTCCGAGGACCGCGGTGATTATCGAGGGCTTCCATTTCCGTTCCGTCGGCTTCCTCTGGAGGCTCAGTTATTTGCAGGCCCCTCTAGAACCACCCTTGTTAAAAAGAGTGGGATCCCTGGGCCTCCTGGGACCCCTCCCTCAGTCCCAGGCGTAGGCCCAGGCCGCCTGTGCCCGATGAAGGCCCTCCATAGAGTGGACATGCCCCAGGCGTGGCTCGGCCGTGTGGGCCTGTTCCCTCTGCAACATTAGAGGGCTAGACTAGATACCCTCCAAGGGCCCTGCTCTCTTTAAACCTAGTAACTATAACTGCGTTGTCCCCAACCCCTTCTCGACCCTTCCACACCATTTTCCAGCTCACTTCTTTTTTCCATTGTTGTCTTTATTAGAGTGTAGGTTCCTCGAGAATAAGGACTTCCCTGGCATGGATTTGGATCGTACAGTGCCTGGCACTTGGGAAACCTCTTTATAAATGTTTTACCTAGCTCCTCAATTGAGTAAAATAGGTTTTGTTACAGCCTACCAAGGGCCCTCAAAAGGCATTATAGCAAGATAATTGCTGTGTCCACACCTTCGTGACCCCAATTTGGGAGGTTTTCTTGGTAAGGGTAATGGAATGGTGCCATTTCCTTTTCCAGTGGACTAAGGCAAATAGAGGTTAAGTAACTTGCCCAGTGTGGCTATATTTGAACTCAGGTTTGCCCTGACTGTACTGACTACCCAGTGCCCTATTCACCGAGCCACCTAGCTGCCTCAGTAGCAAGGGAGGCTAAGGCCTAATTTTACTATTTACTACCAACCCACCACTACTCCATCCTTCATTTGGCAACTTAAGGTGCCTAGTGAGTGCCCTTCCACTATTCTGGGCTGATTTTTCAAGTTCTCACTGGACTAGACAGCCCTGTACCCCTTAAGCAGCGTAAGAAATAGAAAAAGGAAAAAAGCAGTGGACTCAAGGTACAAATTGGTAATAATAATAAGTGTTACTTGTTTAACATGTTAAGATTTGCAAATGCTTATTGACTGGCAAAGAACTTAACATATCTCATTCAACCCTTATAAATAACCCAGGAACGATATGAATCTAATTTTAAAATGTTGCAGGAATAGAGTTAAATAATTGGACAAACATTAATTGTTCATAACTAGGTTGAACCAATATAATAAAAATGACTACTATCTAAGGTAATTTTCTCAGTGCTGCACCAAACTCCCAGAAGAATATTTTATGAAACTAGAAAAATAATAAAATATACATGGAGGAATGAAAGGTCCAGAATCTCAAAGGTAAAATGGAAAAAAAAAAGTGGAAAGGAAGCGGGTCTATCAGTATCAGTTCTTAAACTGCAGTACATAGTAGTAGTCATTAAAAAACTATTTGAAACTAGTTAAAAAAGAGACATGGATCAACATCCATGGTAGGTACACACAACATAGAAGCAAACAAAAACACTAGCACAGTGTTTAATAAACCCAAAGACCCCAGGTTCTGGAGGAAGTACTCAAAATTTGACTAAAACTTCTGGAAACTGTATAGCAGTCTGTCAGAAATTAGGTTTTGATCAATCCTTCACACCATGAACTAGTTCTCTCCTCTGATACTACCACTAACCTGGTGTAAGCCCTCATCACTTCATGCTTGGACTACTATAATAGCTTGCTGGTGGGCCTGCCTTACCTCAAGTCTCTCCACACTCCAATTCATCCTCCAGCCACCAAAGTGATTTTCCTAAAAAATCAGTTCAACCAAGTCACCTTTCTACTCAAACTCCAGTGGCTCCCTATAACCTCCAGGATTTAAAAAAAAAAAATCCTTTATTTAGCATTCAAAGCCCTTTATAATCTACCCTCCCCCTTCCAAGCTTCTTTCACTTTATTCCCTGCCACATACTGTTCAATCCAGTGACACTGACCTCTTTGCCACTTCACCAGCAGTACACTCCATCTGGGCCCTAGACATTTTCTCTGTGTCCCCCAAGCCTGGAATCCTTTTCTTCATCATCTCTGCTTCCTGGTTTCCCTGGCTTCCTTCAAGTCCCATCTACAGAAAACCTTTTCCAACCCTTCTTAATTGTAGAGCTTTCTCACTTTGAATTGTTTCCTATTTTTCCTGCATGTAGCTCATTTGTACATATTTGTTTGCTTGTGGTCTCCTTCCTTAGCTTGTGAGCTCCTTGAGGTTAGGGACTGTCTTTTGCCTCTAGTTGTATCTCTTGTTTATTGACTGACTGACTTCAAGCTTTATCACCACCTTCTAAATGAAGTCTTTTCTTATTCTATCCAACTGATAGTGCTCCCTCATCACCTGGGAGCTATTTTTGTATCTATTTTGTATATGCCTATGTCATATATACCTATGGTACTCTTCATTGTGGACAAGATCCTACCAGAAATAATTTTTTATTAATTTATGATAATTCTAAATCTAAAATTTTTCTGTCTAGGAAGAGGGAAAATGCCCAAGCTGATAAATGCCCTCCTTCCCACCCCTCTGCCATGTCCTTGGATATCTAACATAAATTATTTTGGAGTAACAGTTATAACATTCCTGGACAATATCAAAAATTCCACAACAAGCTGAAACTTAATTACACCACTTAGGGTAAAGTTCTATTAACAATTTGCTTCAGTAAAGAGAATAATAGTCATTTGACTTCTGGTACATCCTTGAAGAATAATTTTCCTAAAACCCTTCAAACCCTCTTTGACTGCTCCCTTGAAGGATTCTCCTTTCCAGCTGGTCAAAACCACCCCAATTTCCAAGAATTGAAGTAATCAAAGAAACTTTTTCCTTCTGTTAGGTGGATCATTGTCTTAATCTCTTCAGAGGAGTAGCACCTCTGGTTTGACAGCTTAGCAAGCCTTTTTCCAGGGCTGCTCATCCACCTTTGATGGATGTACCTGCCACTTGTAGCTCCAAGAACATGTAGCGTGCACAGTGGCCACACTCCAGTCAAACTGTTGGCAGATGAGCTAAACCAGGTTGAGGATAACCTACAGGCCTCAAACCCATCAATTAGGTAGGGAGATGTCTATCTCAAGCATGTAAAGACTTTCCACCTTTGGAATGGACAAATGAAGGCGGCTGAAGCAGCATCTGTGGAGTGCTTAGAGCTTGGTCAGACATTGAAGACACTAAGGTCATTCACTGCATCCTGGATCATCGCTAGTCAGCTTGATTTTTGTCTTGCCACTGGGCTTCAATGACTCTGGAAAAAAGAGTGAGGTTGAAAGTTTTCTGTGACTCTGCCTCACTTAAATCCAATTCACTACCAAGTCAAGATATTACTGTCATGTCATTGGTCCTCTTAAAAAAAAAAAAAGAAGAACAAACAACAACAATAATAACAATCCCTTCAGGGAATGTGGAGAAAAAAGCTACAACTATTAGGTGGATCAATTCAAGACCCCAGCAATTTTTCTTGTCACTAATCTCTTCCAGGGAGGAGTCATTCCTGGACTGAACTGAGGGTCAGCTGACAAGAAAGGAAGCAGGATATTGTTTTGGAATTGATGGCTAAAGACTGATAAGATTTCTCTTTTAGATTAGTACAAAGACTCCAGGCTAGTGTAATCCCTGTCCCAAACCCCATTGGTGTGGGACTCTTTTTTGGTGGAGATGAATGCCCTGCTCTGCATGAGGAGCAGGACAGAGTTAGTGAGTGTGGCAGAGAGTGTCCTTCTTCAGTCCTCTTTGGGACTCTTCCAGGTTCAAATTGCTGTAAGCTCCCAGTTTCAGGAAGGAAGATGAAAGAGGCTAATCCCACTTCAGATTGTCAAAGGAAAAGACTGGGAAGACATGAAAGGAGCCGGCAGTCTCTACAACATCCCTTTCCCACCTTGTCACTCTAGAGACTTTGAGAAACTACCCCTGGGATGAGATCCAAAATTGTCTCTCTTGGTTGAACTGAGCTATCTCCCAGTAGAAGAGCGCCTTCACTTTATATTGTCTGGTATATATTCTCCTATGCATACCTTCTCTAATTTCTGTTTTGCTGCCAATTTGGATAAATGGGTTTTCTTTGCTATTCGCTATGTGTACTCATCATGGAACTGGTAATAGGTGGGAAAGGAGTCAAACCTTAGCTACAGAGCTTAGGGTCCTCCTTCCCCTGTCTCCTCCCCTCAGTAATGACAAATTGATCTTAAGTTAGATAGAATCTGATCATATCCTACAGACTAATAATATTTGAGAGAGCAGATAGACATAGTTCTAGCCAGTACTCCTCTCTATGAGGAGTGTCCAAACTCCTGCTTCCCCTCCTGGCAGGAATTGGTGAAGGGAGGGGGGAGAGAGTCTATTCTGTCTCCCTTCTGGCCACATAACGCAGATAGCCCTTGTAAGACATGGAGCTTTACTACTGATGGCTCTGTCCACTTGGAGACTCACCACACCAGTGAAACATGTTACATTAGGGTAATTTTCAAATAATTTATTACTTTTGAATTCTTAGTTTAAAAAATTTAAATTATTTTTCTAAAAGAGAAAAGGAGTGAGAGGAAGTGGCTTTGTGTGGTTCCACCCCATTCGTGTGAGTGGTTTCCATCAATAGGACATAGACCCTGTAAAGGGTGGGATTTGCTTCCTTCACTTTTGTCTTTGTATCCCAGAACCTAGCCTAGTGCTTTAGCATGTAGTGGGTGTTTAATAAATGCCTTTTGACTGATTAATCTGACAGTGGCATGCAGAATAGTCCCTTTAGTCAAATGGACTTTGCTGGCTCTCAGTTCCTTTCTACAAAGCCCTGTACTGCTGTAACCTTCTTTCTGTGTTATATTCTATTCTTCCCAGGAATCTGCACTTTTAGAAAATAACCCTCTGGTGCTAAATTTGAATCC